AACAGTCGGTCTCAATTTTAATATAACATAGATACATAATTTGAAATAAAACAGTGACATTTAAAAAAGATCTCAAGTTTATTTAAAAACATTACTTAAATAAATAAACGAGCACCACATACAAATAATAACCATTAATTGTCATAACCAATTCCCAACAATTCTTTCGGTAGGTGGCATACTTTGTGATAACCTCCACCCCTCTTTAAGTCACATTTGATTCTCAAGCATCCTTACCGGGAACCTCTTGAAAATGGATGAGCATCCTTACATAGAATCTCTCACCAATCACTACATTATTTTTCAAGCATCTTACCGGAAACCTCTTGGGAATGGGAGAGCATCCTTACAAGAGACCTCTCACTCGTGTGCATCACAAACAATCTAACCAAACATACAATTCCAACATTTATTTCAATTTACAAGCATCTATCCAAAATCTCCAAAATATATCATATAACAATTCCACAACCAACTAAGAAAATACATGAGATCACAATAACATCATTTTTCTACCAACACAAAGCACTAAAGTTCTGAAATCCATAATAAAGAAAACATTTAGGAAGGAAATACATCACTCTCCAAAAATTAGGGTTTTAAAACTAGAAAGGAGATTTCATGGGTATTAAACCCTATTTTATTCAAAATATGTAATCCTTGCAAAAAGCCTAAGAGAAGATGATTTCATAGCATATATATACCATTGATAGTCAAAACATACATAATAAATACCCTAGCCTCAATGTAAGTGAATGAGAGAAAACTCCTACCTTGAATCCTTAGCTTTGGAGTGAAGAACAAGAATATTTGATCTTGAATCACTCTTGAATCTCTTGTTTTTCCCTTCTTTCTTCTTTTTTAATGCCCTCTAGGGTTTCAAGAGGTGTGGGGGTGTGAGGGGAGTGAAGGAAATGAGAGAAAATGAGATGAAAATGAGTTTAAAACATAGCAGCCCCGAAAAACACTGTTCACAGTCTGTTTTGAGTTTCTCCAAATTTACGATTTTGCCACTAAGAATCTCCAATTTGATCCATATGAAACTACCCTAAAGTTTGTCGACGTTCCAGATTCATTTTTAATGTTATTTTAACCTAAAAACATTTATTTTTATGATTTATCTCAAAACTCAAGTCAACGTACACCCGAAACACTAAAGTTTCTATTTTACCCATCCGAATCGGCTATTAATGAAGTTTTGTGATGTTTGCAAATAAAAGGTGATAAAGGGTGTTTCTTAAAACCTTTTATACTTATTTGAAGCCTAAAAATACTCATTATTCTTATATTTTGATTTAGGATGCAAATGGAGACATTAAATGCAAAACGAAACTAATTGGATTTTCGACATCGTTTCGTTATCTGAGCATAACTCTCTCATTCAAGCTCCGATTGAGATGATTCAAGATGCTATGGAATGATACGAAAGAGCTCTAAAACTTTCATGTTTTGAATTTTGAGAGATATTGACTACAGCAAGGTCTAAATCGAGCTTGAAGTTGCAGCAGTGCACTATTCACATGCACTGTTCACAGCCTGTCTTCGTCCCTTTTCCATTTCCAATCCATTCCTAAGTCAACCAAATCTATCTCAAACCTCTCCAACACATATTTCTACACCAAACCTATTTAATACAAGTTTTATGACCTAAAATTTTATATTTTCACTTATTAAAACCAAATTTCAACTATTATTTTCACTAACATTTTAAATCTCTATTTTTCCAATCTACCAAATTCAAACACACATCACTCCATATATCCAAATTTTTTTATCACAATTATTTACTATATATCTATATACATATATAAAAGAAAATGCGGGATGTTACAACTTCTCATACCATTTCAAAGAGATTAATTTTCGAACTCAGACTCGTGATATTTCTCTTAAGTAAAATGACTATTTGTTATCGTTCCAAATTTTGTATCATCTCGTGTTTTTCATGATTTAAAAAATAAATAAATATAGGATAGCACATTTAAGGTCAAGATAGTGGAGTTTCAAAAGTTTTGAATATTGTGTGGACATTGAGCTCTTTGTGGTAGAAGTATTGTATGGCAATGTATGGATGATGTGAAGTTGAAAATGCTGCAGCACAAGAGGACATTGGCTACTTACTGTCTTTTGGCATTTCAAGTTGTGATGGTCTTTGAGTTTGAATTTGGACATTGCTCACCTCACCACCCCAAACTCCAAGCAAATCATACAACAAACAGTTGCATAAAAAGACAAGCTCTAGAAGCTCCATATAGATATCTCAACAAGAAAACGTGGACAAAATTGAAAAGAGCAATGTTACTTAAATTTAATTTATTAATCTAATTATTTATAATTATTGATTGATAGTGGACCCCTAATATTCTTTCAAACCCATTATCAATTCAACAATTGTGATGGATTAGACACTAAATTCATGCACTATTAGAGGTATAGTTTGGGCGGGTTGGACAAGTTAAGGAATCAAACTTAATTCAACCCTGAGTATAAAATTTTGAACTCTAACCATAACTTGACCTCAACCAAAGTATTGCTCGGTTAATTTCAAACAAGTTGAGGTTGAAATAGGGTTTCCCAATTTGAGCTCAACAAACAATAATCTTAAATTAGGTGTGATTCTTTGTACAATGTTAGATTATTACATAGGCCCACTAAGATGAAACTCATAAAGATAACTTATTAAGGGCATAAAGATAATTTATTAAGGGTATAAAGGTGAACATTTTTTATAAAATGGAGAGGTGTTTTTTTTTTTGCCTTTTTTAGTTATCCCACATCAGTTGTATAAATTTCTTCACCATCTATATAAATCATGTTTCACTACCTCTTTAAATAATAATAATTATTATTATTATTATTATAAATATATGTATTAATATTATATTTATATAAAAAAAATACATGAATTTGAGTTGAACTCGGGTTAAACCCGATTTTATCAATTTGTGCTGAGTTCGGGTTAAACTCGTGAATTCGAGTCTTGTTTGAATTCCATTCAGGTTGAAACTTTTTAATCCTAACCCTAATTGTAAAAATCTCAACCCAATTTTTTTTTTTTTTTTTGAGTTGGGTTCGGATTGGCCAATCTAAATTGCACCCCTATGCACTATAAACCACTATTATTGTAATGTAGGTAAAATTATAAAACCTGGCCCAACCTAAGAATATATATATGGTCCATAAGCTGTGATAATGGATCCCACATGAATAATTTGTAAATTTATGATTAAAAAAAAAGATTGATATTAGAATTTGATGGTCTCTCAAACATCAGAGTTTTATATTTCAAGAAATCAAATCTTAGATGGTGAAAATAAAGTTAATAATCGAACCGAATTTCTTAAATTTTAGTTAAACTTGTCAAACTCATTTTTCTACGTGAAAATGTTATTTCCACTATGTGAGGTAATTATTAGTGTAATTTAATGATCAAACCATGTGGGTCCCATAAAAATATGAAAAAAACAAAAAAAACCTTGTGGGTCCCGATATAATTAACCCTAAATTCTTTTGACCTAAACAAGTTGCAAATTGCAATCAATCGTTGGACTCTTTATTTCTTTAATAATAATTTAATGGTGTCATAGAGATTGTTACATACACCCAAGTTTATACTAATTAAATGGCCCGAATTTAACGGTATCTTAAAGCGCGTGGGCTATAATTCAGGAAAGATAAGCAAGTAGTAGCAAACTAGTCGCTGTCCTAAATAGCCGCGCGTTTGTTATTGTGATCATAATACTTGTCACGCGCAGGCTTGGTCAATGCGAGCACAGCTCCTCTGCTGGAGCTGTACAGTGGGGGTGTCGTTGTTTGTGTCAAATAACGTCGTTTTGAAAACAACACCCACGCTATATGAAGGAGCCGAACCTGATCAATATTGTCAGAGCAAATTTATGATGTATTTTATTTATTTATTTTTTAACCACTAAAAATGTGTTATCGAGACGAATTTTTCAAGTTCCAATTGAGTTCATTATTCAAGTTTGGCTCTTAATCGAGTCTAAGTAATTTAATTCGATTATCAACCCAATCTTATTCTACAGCTAACGGACACATCATACTGGGTTGTAATTCGTATTTGGTTTTTTTGGCTAATATGGGTATTTTAGTTGGACAATATAACGATCAATACAAAAAAATAATTATTTTAATAGTTAAACAATAAAAAAAGAAGAAATTACAGTTATAATTATGCACATCTAAATACCACTGGCCACAGCTCCAAAGACAAGTGGTTCCTGTACAACTGGTTTGTTCTCCCATCCATATAAATAGAGATCCAGTCCTCAACCCTCTTTTCCTATGTACTCCCACTCTTCCTTCATCTTCTCACTTCTCAGATTCTAAAACTCTCAGTCATTTCCTATTTTGTTTCCCAATTGATAGATTTCTTGATATATATATATATATCTTTGAAACTTTCCATATCCATACAATAACAACTTTCTCTACTCTCTCTCTCTCTCTTTTCTTCTCAGAACAACCTCAAACCCAAGCCCAAAGCTGTTTCTGATAGCTCCCTTCTATGGTATTTTTCTCTCTCGCTCTCTCCTGAAATATATGTACGTATAGGTATATGTATATGTCATCTCTCTCATCCTTAGTTTCTTTGTTTGATCTTTGTGTTTTTGTATTTGTTCAGGCGAGTGAGATTGGAAGTATCAGATATGAAGAGGTAACTGATTCAACTGTTCTTTCTTTTCTACTATTTATGATTATTTTGCTCTCACGTCTAAATTTTTTGAAATTTTGCATGATCTCTCTCTCCTTCTCTCTTTACTATTACAGGAATTCATATTGAATTCTCGAGGAATGAAGCTTTTCACGTGCAGATGGCTACCTACAAACTGTGAGCCAAAAGCTTTGATCTTTCTGTGCCATGGATACGCCATGGAGTGTAGCATCTCCATGAAAGGTCAGTAAATTATCAGCGAAAAACACGAAAAAACCTTAATTTGATTCCATTGATATAAACAAACACAAAGCTGGTAATTAACATGAAGATGATTGAAACAGGCGCGGCAACTCGGCTTGCTAAGGCAGGATTTGCAGTCTATGGGATTGATTATGAAGGCCATGGAAAATCAGCTGGACTTCAGGGTTATATCCATAACTTTGATGATCTTGTTACCGACTGCTCTGATCATTTTACAAGCATTTGTGGTAAGATTTTCATTTTGATTTTGATGTGCTTATTCCATCACGAAATTTGTGAAAGACAAAAAGTCAAAACTTGGGCTCTATTTGATTTCTTCTTAACAAAATAATATCCGAAAATTATTTTTAGGAAAAACTTCATAAAATTATTTTTGGTATTTTTTTGTGTCGTAGAACTTATTTGGTTATATAATTCCAAAAAACAATTTTACGGAATAGAAAACAGTAAAATTTGTTTAAACAGTAACCTAAAAAACAATGAAAACAAAAATGTGGTGGTGGTGGAAGTATGGTGGTGGTGGTGGTGGTGGTGGTGGTGGTGGTGTGGTAAACGTGGTGATAGTGGTGTTTTCTAAATTTTGAAAAAAGTTATTTTCAAAAACACACAAGACAGTTTTAACTTATTCTCTAAATTTATCCAATTTTTGTTTTAAAAAAAAAATGGTCAAACAACTTTTTTCCCAAAAAACAATTTCTGAAATATAAACTAAGCAAGACCTTGAATTCCGAGTTTTTGTTCTTGTGTCGTTTTATGAATATGTAATTGTGATTTGAGTATTTGTGAAGAACACAATAACATTGTTGTCGTTATTATGACATTAATGTATTTTTTTTTTTTATTGATTATGATTACTATTAGATTGTAACTTGTTTGTGGGTTTGATTTGAATGAAAGCAGAAAGGAAGGAGAACAAGAGAAAGATGAGAATTTTGCTGGGAGAATCAATGGGAGGAGCTATGGTTCTTCTCTTACACAGGAAGAAGCCTGTCTATTGGGATGGTGGGGTCTTGGTTGCACCAATGTGTAAGGTATGTCTCTCTCTCTCTCTCTCTCGTGCCTTTTTTAAGTGGAAAACACGTTTGGTTGAAATAAAATAGGATTATTATAACTACATCGAAAAGGAAGTTTATACTTGTTATATTAATTCCTATCGAGTTGGAGTAGTTACGGAGGACCCACTAAATTATTGAAATCAAGTGGCACGCGTTGTGTATTTTACTTAGTTTTTCTTCAAAATAGGATGGGTCGAGAATTGAAAATAATTTGTACATAATCAGATTCTAATATTTGAATTCGATGAAATAGTCGGTACAATATTGCAAACCCTATATCCAAAAATAAAAATAAAAGAAGATCCCAATATCTTAAAAAGAACCCTAAATGCCCAAATTTGGTGGGTGTTATCAAAATTTGTATTCAATATTCTTAGTAATTTAGTGAAAAACATAACCTATAATTAATCAAAATACTTAATAGATCGTCTCAATTGTACGCTGTTCTTAAGAATTACCATTTTCACTTCAAAACCATTTCATCATTCAAACAATTTGATGAAAAAAAAAAAAGGAGGAAAAACCTTTCTTGAATTTTTTTTTTCTCAAAGAAACTCATTTAAATTTAGTTTCTTTATAGATGTGAAATTTAAAAATCTTCTAAATTGAATTATTTTAGGGTGGCTATTTTTTCCATATATAAATGCAGATTGCAGATGATATGAAGCCACATCCAATGGTCATCAGTGTTTTCACAAAGCTTTGCCATATCATCCCAACTTGGAAAATTATTCCAACTCCAGATGTCATTGATGCTGCCTTTAGAGATCCTGAAATAAGAAAGGAGGTATAAATATAATAAATCCCCTCATTCTCTCTCCAATTTTTTTTTTTTTCTTGTTTATGTGTTATCTTTTGGCGGAGATGCAACATTTAGGGTAGAGTAATGCTATTTGGACTTAAAAATTTGACATAATTTACTGATCTAATCAATTTAATTGTTGTAGTGAATTAATTCAATAAATTAAATCAATAGGTTAAGTTGACCAGGCTATTCATTTGGGTTTCCTAAATTTACCTTCATACCCTATAATTAATCTTGCCAAGACCTTGAAGAGTATTGTTTTTAGGGTTAATTAAAAAGGGCCCCCTTTAAGTTTAGGTCACATTCAATCAAATCTCTTTGATTTTAATTTCAACAATTTATCCCCTCAAAGTTTGAATATGTAAATTAAGTCAAGTCGCTAATTTTGACCAAAAAAAAAACATTTATTTGCAAATGACATGATCTCGAATTCTAAAAAGAGACGAAGACACTCTTCATGTCATTTTTTCTTGAGAAAAAGAATGGAGAGTTTTTGGACGTGGGGAAAAATTTTGAATTTAGTGTAATTTTCTCTTTACAATAAATCTGAGAACATGTGACTTAATTTTCATTATTTTTCATTGTGGAAAAACATTTTGATTAAATTACACTCTAAACCCCCAAATTGTGCCTCATCTCTCATTGCCGCTCAACTATAATATCCTTCAAATTGTACATAAAAATATGATTATTAATTTTAAGTTTTCCATCATTAGAGAAACTTATTACAAATTAGATGAAAAATTATGCCACTTTATCCTCCGAATCATCGGATTTTCTCTTACTTTACCATTTTATCTAGTAACACATGAATATTTTTCATTCAACATATAACCAACTTCAAATTTTGAGCAGTATGACACCATTTTATATAATTAAAGGGACAATGTGAAAAACTCAATAGTCGATAAGATGAAGACCGTAGTTCAAAGATGCAAAGTTTAATTTATCAAAAAAAAAAAAAATATAGGGTGTATATTCTCTTATTTATTTGTTTATTTATTTTTTGGACCATAACAGATCCGGTCCAACCCATATTGCTACAAAGGACGGCCGCGATTGCAAACTGGCTACCAACTGGTAAAAGTCAGCTTAGATCTAGAGGAAAGACTTCAAGAGGTTAGCTAGCATTTTCATTTAATTACATTATAATACGTATCTTGCTATGGTTGTGACATATTTTTGGATTGCGAACGTGTCAAAGTTCAATTGGATTTAAGATTTAAACACGAATGACTTTACCTATCCGAACCAATATAAAATTCTAAAATCGTGATTGTTCAAATGATTGTAACAAGACATAAAGTTACATCTGAATTCTTTTCTATACGTTAGAGTTCAAGGATTTTAAATAATTTTCAACTAACGGCATAATAGACTAGAATGTAGAAAGAAAAACTAGAATACAAAGCAACAAATAACTAAGTTTGGAAGATGAAACAAATATTGTATTTAACATTAAAAGAAAACAATAAGGATTACCAGAGTAATAAATCACACGAAAAAGTAAAATTGCACAAAAGTAAAAAAACAAGAGGTTGGCTCTATGTAGAGTTCGTTGTGCTTGATTGTAGATCCTCTCTTTATAGTCTTGCCTTTATTATTTATAGAGATGATGTTATACCGTCAAAGCCATCCTACTTTCCAACCATGACTGTAATCCTGGTCTTTCCCTCGAGATGTAGAGATGTATAGATATGCGCTGAAGCAACTCCAATTAACGACTCATAATATCACGTCTCCCCACTTTTCAAGATTCTTAGAATCCTATTTTCTTAACCATTCTGTCAAGTATAGACTCTCACAGACTCTTTTATGATTGTTAGATCTCTTCCATATCATCATCAAATTTTGCTATTTTTGGGTGTAAACTATGATTGGATTCTTGAATTAGGGTCAAAACTTTTGAGTGTGAAATTTCAACTACCCATAGACGGCACGATGAAAATCATACTACCAAGATTTCGTGTCCACGCAAATTTGAACTCATCAACTTCGCAATATAGATCTTTATCAATCAATTCTCATCGAACGGTTGTGGTAGGCCGAACTTCACATAATTTGTGACAATCACACGTTAACCTATCGTAGTAAAATAATATTTTGGGTATTGTTACATCCTCTCTGTTTTCTAATGAATTCATGTTTGTGTGTACCTGTACAGGTCTCATTACCATTTCTGATAGTCCATGGAGGAGATGATAAAGTGACTGATCCATCGGTTAGCAAACTCCTGTATGAAACAGCTTCCAGCTCCGACAAGACCTTTGAGTTGTACAAGGGCATGTGGCATTCTCTCTCCTACGGCGAGTTACCTGAAAACATTGACATTGTGTTTTCAGACATTATCAATTGGTTAGATCAGAGAGTTGCCTTAGGTAACTCCAGGTTGGAGAGAGAACAAAAACTGGGAAATGACAGTTTATTTGTAGCAAACTCCAGCAAAACAAAGCTTGTATCCTGATAAAGCTCCATTTTATTGATGCCCACAATAGAGTAACAAATCCTTTAAAGCTGCAATAAGAAGTGTTTGATGAGTCATTGAATCATTTCAGCATGATCGAATGGTATCACTGTTACACTGAATATTAACTCCACATGCAGGTCTCCGGTGCATGGAGGTCTTTACAATGTGTGTACGCGAATGACTCGGCCAGCCCCCAATGCCATTGATGTGGGTTCGAACCCCCTCTCCCTACCTCTGGAAAAGAGAATTTCTGAGAATATTTTTTTCATAACCTATATCAGCAAACAATGCAAAAGTTAAATGCGAGAAGACTAATTATAAAGTTTTAACAAACACAATTGACATTCAGAAGCAAAAATTTCATTAAATAAGAACAACTTGAGATCCCTAATGTGGAAGAGTTTCCCAAGAATTCAAATGGAATATTGCAGGCAATAATCAAACAAGCAGAAACTTGATCATCAAATTATTAAATGGTGGAGATATGGCAACCATATATTCATATGTCATACCTAGGTAAGCCATAACTAATACAAAGTTAAGTAAATAATAAAACAGTTTTAGAATAACAAACTTCAACAACAGAGGGACCCTTCTTAATCACTGATTTCTTTGTTTAAGTTCCACACCAAGGTTACCAACTCCTTAGGTATGATCTAACAACTAAAGAAGAAAAATCTGACATTTTTTGACAGAAAGATAAAACGAATCTGAGACCAATAAGTCATGTCATATACTTAGAAGTGCTCGAGTATTCTAATGGATCAAGCAATAAGCACAATAAAATAATCATGGTGTGTTAGGTAATGGTTAAGTTGATACAGAACAGGTAGTTGGCTACTTAACTAGTGAAATGGACCCCTTACTGTGCCTTATTATATGTGTGTGATTTTCCAATGCTAGTGATGTCAGTGAAAACTAAATAATATGTTAAAAAGCTCCGGTTATGTTTTTTGCCTTATGATTCATATTCATTTAGCTGAATTTATAAATCATCTACAATGGTTTTTCTGAAAATATAGTTGTTTACCTTGATGGGGCATCCACATGCAGGCCTCTTGAGCACGAGAACTCTTAAAATCTGCATTATGTGCTACCGCACTTCATGACATGTTCATCACAGATCCCCAGCAATTAGTCTAATTCCAGATACTGTAACAGCAAGTATATTCTTGTATTCCAACAAAAAGATCCACAAAAAATTTGCAGTATCAAGCCTTTTAGACCTATATTTTAGAACATAATTTTATATTAACTGCACACAGTTATACCAAAAGGAAGTAATCTAAAAGGCTAACAACATGCCTTAAACAGGACGTGACTTAGAATTCACTGGCTAGTTCTTTAATCCTCCTATGCTTGTCTTTTGATAGTCTAGTGTTCTATCTCTAGTCTTTCAATTGCAAGCACTCAGGATAATGATATGCAAAAGAGTATAGTGCTCCTAAATTTTCAAGTGAAACTACTATATAAAACTAGAAGAAATGTTCAGACCAAAATCTTCTCTTTCCAACAGGATGCTTACATGCCTTGAAGTAAACAAACAACAAATGATGCAAATATCACAACTTCGGAAGGGAGGAAATTGATATCTATTCGGAAAAGAAAGTGACAACCAGGAGATTTCCACATTTAAATAAGGCAAACCTAAAATATTAAAGTCTATGTCTTAAATAACAACTCATGCATAGGAGTAGACCATCAATTTATTTTCTGTATCCACTCCATATAATCAACTCTTTCAGACATTACAATTGAAAAATATAAAGATGACTCTAAGGCCCAAGTGCAAACATGCGCGTGTGTGCACTCCAATGCATATATATTCTTCCGCAAAGAAAAGCCAAAACAGCCACAGCAATTTAAATATATTATGGTCAACTTTTTTTCATAAACAACAAACGTAGATAGAGAATAGCCAATCATCCTCAAATTTAATAAACTGGGTTTTACTTCTAACTAGGTCTCTTCAATTATTCCTGGGTATTTTGGTGAGAAGAATTCATTGTGCTTTTCAGCTGTGGTTAGAAATCAAAATAAGTTATAGATAAGACCCCTCCACAGATAACTAACAGCCCATATATTGGATCAAACTTTTCCAAAAACTTAACCACTTAGCAACTGGCAACCCATAGACATAAATACCTGAAGCGCCCTCTAAACATATTCACAGAAAAGAAGAATAATGGATGCGCCCTCCAACGGATTATACATAAAATTAGAAGTAAACAGAGTAACGACTCATAAGGACTACCGATAACATATGAAAACTAACACTGCACAGAGAACATACCTCCGGATTGTCACCCTTATAAATCCCATCACAACAAAAACATACAAAGGTTGGTAAGTGTCCCACTGCAAATAGTAATCTTCTTCCGAACTGGAAACATACAAGAGAGGAGCAACTTTCTTGCAGCATCGGCATAGGATAACCATACTGCTAATCAGAAGCCAATCATCTTTACCATCATAATGAGAGTCGCAGTTTCTTAAATGTTCTGCCAATCCCTCAATGGTGAAAAGTGAAAATCTCAATGCATCTGCAGTGAAAGCAACTACATGTTCTGCACACTGATTAAATGAAAACGGAGCTGCATATTGAAGAGTACTGAGCGGGACAGATAATAAATCCTAAGCTCGACAGGCAAATGCTGGCCTCTCGGTCACAGAAAGAAATGTTGGCACTTCGGATGGGCATCTGGAAGATGTTATGCCACCTCACTGTCCTTAACAAAACCTCATTCTGTAAATCAACATCGAGAAATAGGTTTGCAGGGATCTACATTATCCTTCCACGTACAGAAACCTAAACTTCGAGAAAGACAAACATTCTGGAGGCAAGGAGACATTTTGCTGGTCCAGAATCTGCCTAAGGATCTCTGTCTTCATTCAGGAACAGGGACTATGTCCAAACAAGCACCATCCCCAGACTTTGGGTGCTCTCAAACAACTAATGGTCACAACCACCTCAAATTCTATAAGCTCCCTCCACTCAGTGCAATAACCACTTGAAGTCTATTAGACAAAGTCTTACCAAGTGTTCTCCAGACATTGATAAACCCTGTATCCTTATATGCTTAGCGCCACTAGGATGCATTGGCATCCGATAATCACCGTCCAGCAAGCGAGTGGCATCAAGGAACCCACAATCACTAATTTCTTTAATTATCTAACTAATAGGAAACATGGGCAGCTTTTGCATGAAATAATGACACCAAACTGTGCATGGAACACTAGAAAGCTGCGACATAGCCACTTTGCTGATGGCTAAATCCTGTCTTAAAATCTATAGGGATGAACCATGCCCACAAAAAGACAAGCACTCACAAATCATACAGAACATGTTACTGAAGGTACTTCCCTGGACTTTCAATACATGCCAAGTTGTGACCCATCTCTCTATTAGACCATGGAGCGTAGCTACAGTAGAAAACCAATTTGCTGTCCTCTGGTTTAAGCTTGGTCAGCCTAACATCAATGTGCATTGAATTTAAAGACGATAGAAAAGGAAGGAAATGTATTCTAGGTTTCCGAAGGCCGCAGCAGTCGGTCCATGTTGACGAAGCCAATGATAAATCAACAATTAGGAACAGTTTCTAATGGAGTAAGAGGAGAACTTCTACCAGAACAAGGTGCTTCCCATGCCATCTGTAATATAATGTTCATACAATCATCCGACATCCAGAGACATGTATTGTGTGCTAAAAATTGATAAAAAGTGATAGAGATCAAAGTTGCCAATGCTATTTCTTGAAAAATTAGATCAGTTTTTGTCCATATTATGTGTTTGTGTGTGTGTGTGTTTGTACGTCATTTGTAAAGCTTGAGGTAAAAAACTAAAGGGGTCATCACATATGTGTTGCATTGAATATCAAGAAAAAAATGAATGATATTATTGGCTAATAACTATGTTAAACAGGTGTATCTTCTCGTCTATAAATTGTTTGTTATCTCATCCTTCAAAACCTTCTGAAATCAAATCAGAAGCAGGTTGGTAACCTTCATCCTTCATCAACTTGCTTAATTGTCGCAACTCAGTACGAATTTCTTTAATTTGTGGATGCAACTGGTCTCCAACAACAAACACATGAACCACACTCTTCAGCTCAATCCAGCTACATCCAGGCTCCTTACTTACCCCTCGAAGGTTCATCATCCTTCTTACCCGCTCTACATCTTCCCCTCTGCCCAACGCTGTATAGATACTTGACAACAACACATAAGCAGATGATTCCTGTGAACCCAACTCCATTAGTTTCTCGCCTGCATAGGCTCCCAAACCATAATTACGATAGTTCCGGCAAGCACTTAGCAAAATACGCCACAAACACAGATGGTGATCAATGGTAGCTGATTCAATAAATTCTTTCACTTCGTTGAGTTTCCCAGCACGGCCCAGGACATCAACCATGCATGCATAATGCTCTAATCTTGGGACTATACCAAATTCTTCAGACATCATTTTGAAATAAATCCAACCTCTCTCTACCAAGCCCATGTGGCTACATGCAGAGAGAATGTTCACAAAAGTAACATAATCAGGCTTTGTGCCTTCCAGTCTCATCTCCTCAAAAAGTTCAATCGCCTCACAGCCACAACCATTTTGAGAAAGACCAGAAATCATAGAGTTCCATGACACGACATCCCTGGTAGGCATCTTCCGAAAGACTACGCTCCCGTCTTCAAGGTTCCCACACTTTGCATACATAATTGAGAGAGCACTTCCAATCGGAACTTCAAGACCAAACCCATACTTAATAGTATGGGCATGGATCTGCTTTCCTTGCTCCAAAGCAGCAAGGCTCGAACAGGCTTTTAGGACACTGGCCATAGTCAGCTCATTGGGCACCATACCCTCCATTTGCATTCTACAGTACAAACTCATAGCAATTTCATTCTCCCCATTTTGAACATACCCTCCAATCATGGAGGTCCACAAAACAATATCAGGTTCTTGTAGATAATCAAACCCCTTTCGAGCATCACCCACATTGCCACATTTAGCATACATATCAACTAACGCCGTAATAATATATATCTGAGATTCAAAACCCAACTTTATCAAATAGCCATGCAACTGCTTTCCTTCTACAGTAGCACCAACATCACTACAAGCATTGAGCACCCCAACAAGAGTGAATTCGCTAGGCCTCATCCCAGAAAAATGCATATCCGAGAACATTTTCAATGCCTTCTCACCATCGCCACTTTGTGCATACCCAGTGATCATCGCAGACCACGTAATGGAGTTCTTCTCACTCGAAATCTCAAACATTTGCAGCGCGTTATCTAAGCTTCCACACTTTGCATACAAGGTAACGACAGCATTTCCAACTGATACAACTGATAACAACCCATTTTTCACAGCAAGACAATGAATTTGCTTACCAATATCAATAAATTCTGGCAAGGTAAAAGCACTAAGAACACTAGTTACCACAAACTCATTCACATCTTCCTTTTCCTCCAACGTCATCATCCTAAAAACATCCAAAGCATAACCAGCAAACCGATGCATAGCATACCCAGAAATCATCGTAGCCCAAGAAACCGAATTTCTCTCGGGCATTCTATCAAACACTTTACGCGCATCACATACAAGGCCACATTTGCAATACGTGTTTAACAAAGAACTATTCACAAATACATCGGAACAACAAGCTGTTTTGATGGCAAGTGAATGAGCTTGCTGGCCACAAAACGGGTCCATCAAAATCGACGCCGCAGAAAAAAATCCGGCGAAAGTGTGGGCATCGGGGAAAGTATTCTCTTTCCTCATAAGCTTGAACAGTTTCATGACTGAGGATGAAGATTTGGGAGTCCCCATCTGAGAGTAGCCATTGATGAGGCCGTTCCATGAGACTATGTCTTTAACTTCGATTTCTTCGAATACAAGGTGGGCTTCGGTTAAGTGGTGGGACTTGGCGTAGAAGTTGACGAGGCTATTGGAGATGTATATGCAAGAGGAAGAGCCGGTCTTGATGATTTGGGCGTGGAGTGACTTGCCGTTTGGGAGGTTTTTCTGGTGGGTGTATTGGAGGAGTTTGGCAAAGAAGGAACGAGTGACTAGTGTCATCAACTCTACGAGTCCTTAGTTTCGAAGTTCATGAATGAGTCACAGCCAAGAACATCCCAAAGTTCAAACCTTGCAAGCAGAGGGAAGGAAACACAGGAATTACACTCTTCCTCACTCACATTTAAATTTTGAGTAAAAATAGATTCAATTCAAACGTATACCAAATGAATAGTTTACTCAAATTCAGAGTCAAACTTTTACTTAAATCTTATGTGATCATATTTTACTATTTTAAAAGATTTAATGATTATATCTTACTTTTGTACAGCTTCTTTTTTGGTACATGAAATGGATTATAAATATATAAATAAATCACTTCATATATTTGTCAAAAAATATTATTTTTTTACTCCTACACAGTTATCTACAATAGATCTCATTGCACCTACATCGGGCAGAAGCTAAAGTCTCACCGTGTGCTCTAATGCGTTAAAGAGTAGATTTAACCCATCGAACTGCTGTAACTAGTGAGACTTGAACCCAAGTATTTAACAGTGCCGACCTATGCACTAAGCCATTAAGGTCATTGCCTAGGGCCCCCAAATGAGACAAAAATTTTGGGGCCCCAACTTAAATTTTTATACAATTTTATTAAGGGATTAGAGAGTCCGGTACCTCCTAAAAAACTTAATAGAATAAAAATATATTTTTTAAAATAATTGGGATAGAAATACATATATTAAAAAAAAGTCATAAAAGCCTTTTTACTCTTACTATAAATAATGCATACCTAATTGAATGTGAGACTTTCAAGATTAGAATGTGAGACTTTCAATATTCCTTTTAATATTTATCTATCATTTGAATTTTGAAATTTCATATATATATATATATATATATATATATATATATATATATATATACACACATATTGAGTAACTATTACTACCCCACTCAGTCACAAAACAATTTCAAGAAGAATACTTGTATAAAGGAAGAAGTGAGTGAATATCGATAGTCTTTGTTAAACAGATAAAAACAGACGACAAGTGACTTTGATCTCATGCAAGCCTATACTTCGGCTACTAATAAGGGGGCTGGGCTTTCTCTTCTGATTGCTTCTTGCCCCTGGTAAGGGTCTAAACTGAGTTCTAAAGCTTGTTGGTGTACCTATTTTTTGTAGTACTGATTGAATTAACTTTTAAAAAAGTTAATTTGTTAAACTTGAGCTTATCAAACTGTTCTTCTAATTTTTCAATTTCAGAATCAGGTGAACTTTTTGAACTATTGGTTTCTAAATTATCAAAAATTTAGTTTATAACTGTTACTTGAGATGGTCCAAATTTAGATTCTTGTTTAGAGATAAGTTCTTCAATCTTTTAGATTATTTGCTTATCTTTTAATCCTAGACCGGATCTATCTTCAATTAGAAGTTTCTCTAATTTTTTAAAAGATAACTTGATTTCGTCGATTTTAACAGGAGCTTTAGCTCAAGTAGCCCCTGGTGTCAAAACTGAAACTGCAGGATCTATTGTAGACGCGGGAGCTTGTCCCGTGTTTTAGCGAACAACATCTATCTATAAACAGTTTGGACCAAGATGATCATCTTAATACTGCTGTTAATCGCTTTTGTAAACTAAAGTAGAAAAGAAATTTTTACACATAATACCAAAACCTACTGCAGAACAATTTGAATGATTCATCAGAGTAGGTTACTATTAATGATCGAAGGCAGACCCACCCAGTACAAGATAGTATGCCACATCAACTTCAACGACTAACAAACTATCCAACCAGACCTAAAAATTCCATATCGATCTGCTACATTATGACAACAAACGATCTGAAGAATGGACACGAGTGGGAGATCAACGTCTCAATTTCTTGTTTCTTCCAGTGCATGCACAATTTCTCCCAGAATCAATTTTACTTGCATTTCATGTTCTGAATCAGATGAGACGTGTTTCTGACCTCGCCACTCCATGAAGTCTCGATAGCTCTGATTCATGTTCCAACTGTAATTGCAGTCCCAAAACCATAACCTGGTCTAGACAGAAACCAATTAATTGAGTACAGATGAGCATTGTTTGAAAAAATAAATGAGCCATTCTTGGGGAAAAGAAAGGGGAAGGAGGTACAGATCCCAGCGACAAAAATTTGAAAAAGGAAAAAAAAAACTCCAATAAAATATACCAGATCTTTTTCTTTTTTTTGTCAGCAAATATAACAGATCTCAAAAATAATATTTATTTGCATTACCATTTGACAAGGTAATGAAGAAAGAGAGAACATGGAAGTTGACAACTTAGAAATTTCGCATTGAGATGGCTTTGGTGCTTGTGGAGTTAAGGTTGCATTCATGTAAACTTTGATGCTGGAATTTTATTATTTTACTCTTATTGAATTTAGCTGTCAACACGCCCAAGGGTACGTAGTCTTTTCAATAGTTGTTGGACCAATTGACGATCGATACTCCTTGAGACATGTGGTTTTACAATGTTATATTGGAGTTTTCTTAGTCGAAGTTATTTTTTTTATTTTTTTTGCTCAAGCATAGTCTTAATTGAAGTCATAGTCCCATTAGAAATAGGACAACCCAGCAGCTAACTTCTATGTAATCCTATGATTCAAATAATGTTGCATTATGAAGGGTTGATATGAAGCCCCTTTGCTCAAAACATCAGATTACTTCCTATACCATCTCAATTTACGCCATTTTAGCATCACAGCCAAAGTAATTATCCTTTAAACCTGAATCTTAATTGATTCCTACATCCAGTTCTGCAAATCATCTCTACTGCTAATTCTTAGGCAAACGTTATGATAAGTTTTTCTACTCTAGTCTCCTCTCCTTCAAGACCATAATATTCTCGGTAATAACACACTATCAAAAAGGTATCACAGGCCAAAAAATTATAGTAAGAAAACAAATACAAGACCAATTGTAAGATCACCACCACCATCGGTTTCTAAGGTAGTATTGGGCACACACACAGTTAGATCAATATAGTTACGTACATAAGCACATATTGACGCAAAAAAGACATTTTTAAGATGAGCGGCTAGGGTTTAGTTTACCTTCATTCTAAGCACCTCATATGATCTTATTTCGCACTTCTTCCAATTTTTTCAAAATCTCTGCCGGAGTTCTATCCAATTCATCAGCAATTTTTCGCTGTAGGTCCAGGGGCAAAGTTGGAAATTGTTCACACAAATCTCCATCAATCACATCCTGTAAAATTATTGAAATTTTTTCAGTCATTACCAACATTAACTGAAAAACTGTCTGAAACCCCAAAAGAAGTAAAACCAAAAGCATGTCTTCATCCATAAAGAACCCTCAGAGAACAAGCTGATAATAAAAAAGAATCATACTAATTAAGATGAATCAAGGAAACATGATCCATCCATTGTGAATGAGACCGCATGTGGTGCTGTCAAAGGTGTACGCCAGCCAAGTGCATGGTTGTGAATAAGAAGCACAAGGTTTACCTTCACTGGAAAATAGGCAGATCTATAGGCCATGTGGTCTCTTCCACATAAAGGCGGGTGTTCCTGCCTCAAGTGCATCTCCAAATGAGAGAAGAAATCAACATCATCCCGAGAGGTGAATGCAAGCAATGCCCCCAAGCTACCCATCACAGTCCCATATATGATGCACTCTCCACCTACAGGAATTAGAGATGCCTTCTGCAAGCATGTGACCACATCACCAACATGAAACTGCACTACTTCTCCTCTACTTTGTTGGGGGCTCCATTCAGCTTCCCCTGCTCCCACTTTATCTTTCCACCAGTTGGATCTTCTTCGATCTCATCTGACACATCCTGTGGTAACCGCACAAAGTAGAAATTGCCAAACTTGTCTGCACCTGCCATGGTGTCAAAATCAATGTGGTATGATGCAGTAAGCCATCTGGGAACGGTGTCATCAGCAAATATGTACAATTGATTTTCATCGCGTCTATACTTGCAATAATGGAATGACTGTGAAGAAGAACAAAAAACAGAGGATAATTAGTACAGAAATAAATGAACAAATACGCATCACTACATTATATGCAAATTGCTCTCGACAAACCTTACACACTCTGGGTATATGCAATTGTTTTCATTTATGGAGAAATGTGTGATTCATCATCAAAGATGAATCAACATGGAACACTAAAATTTAGATTTAGCTTCCCAAATGAGAATTTAACAAATCAGTAAAGGTTAATTTATACGTTTAACGGAACAAAAACAAAAATACAAAAGGAAATTTTGCCAACATTAAATCCATCATTCCAGCCTCTCAAAAGAAAAAAAAATTATTTTTCCTAACTCCTCATAAATATGTACAACTTCTGGTGAAAAATTACCGACAAAGATTTCATTTTGGCAGTTCCTTGGTCTTATATTCAAGGAATTCTTGAAGGCTTAAATAGATTCAACATTCCTTTAAGCACCATTCAATTACGGCACTCATTTGCATTCTTAATTCAATAAACTCAGATTGTTGAAATTGCTTGCAAGTTCAGTTTAACTAATATGCTTCTGTGGTACAAAATGACCCTGAGGAGAGGAAAAACTAAAATTAAGAAAATGCAAAGAAGCTGGGAGAAGGGCATTGAAAGAGATGAGCAGAAAGATAAGGGAGCATAAAACTACAAACACACATGCTTTCAAACAAGTAAACAGCTGGTTTAGTGGCTGGGCATGGACATATAAAGCCACTATTAGAGAGAGACAGTGGCAGATGCAGCTGCGGACAGGGGGTTGTCACACCACAAAGAATTGAAACCATACAGTTAAAGAGTATTTGCAGATCTATCCTCGTATTTATAGAGGCTTGGCTCCCCCAACAGTCTTTAATATAAATCCAACTGCCCTCCTATGTATATGAAATGTACTTTGGCACCCTTTAGGGCAGAATCCTGGATCCGCTTATGAGAAGTTAAAAAAAAAAAATACAACGCTAAGAAGCAAGATGCTTCAAGCATGTAAGGAACATCAAGAACGATGTCGTATGACGCATTTCAAAATTAGCTCCGAGTCTACAAGGCGTATATATTTCTATCCTTTTTGAGTGGGGCCCTGCCTGCAGGAAGCCGGAAGGGAGGGATCCTTGAAATTTTGACCGATGATCTCACACATCCTCTTTTTGGTTTTTTGAGGAGGCTGTAAACGGGTTGACCAACATATAAATACAGCAATACATTAACTCTAAATGAAAACCACACAAGATACAAAACACCAAGCCCCACATACCAACGGCTAAAACCACAAAAGAAGAAAAAGGAGGATAAAATGAGAAGTGTAACAAAGCAGTATACCCCACAAAATAGCCATATTGAAAAATACACAGAAAAATAAATGCCAGCTTGGGAAATAGACGACAGCCCCTCCAAATTAAAGTAAGAAGTGATAAAAGTTGACATATCTAGCAAAAACCACATATTGCAATCACAGAACATACCTCCTGAATGTCACCCACATAAATCCGATCCCGATAGGTATGAATAGAGTTGATTGCGTTTGGAAACAGCTTATTCTCACATTTTCTAAGCAACCTCCTTTTCCCCAAATCATACAATCTAAGCACAGATCCTATTCCAGTAAGTAACCTTCCCTGGAACTGGCACATTGCAAGAGGGACACCATCTACTTGTGTCTTATGCAAAAGTTCAAGGGACCTCCCATCTTCCTTAAATCTATAGATATGAATGTAACCAGCCTCAAAAGATTTTTTGGGCCAAAACTGCAGTCCCTTTGCTGTACCAACAGCTAAAAGAGTTCCATACTCTTTGTCATGGAAATTTACAGTGCATATACTGAATGCAGCCTCATTATCCTGAAGCTCCAGCAGACAAGTTGTGGTTGTTGACCTTGGGTCAAGAACTCTGATGCAAGAAACCCACCTGCTAGACTCTGCCTTAGGATAACCATATTGCTCATCAGAGAGGGGATCATCCTTATCCTCATCGTCACCACCATTATCCATCTGCTCCCCATTTTCTCCCATCCCAGCAGCCTCAAAGCACTCTCTTTTTAAAGCTTCGCGCTCTTCAGCTGGGAATGCTCCCTGATCACTCTCAATAATTACCAACAGTTTCCGCTTGGGATGATGCACAAACTTTCTTGGGGTGTACCTCAAAGGAATAGCTGTTTCATTAAATGTTTCTCCCAGTCTCTCAATGGTAAAGACCCTTAGTGCATCCCCAGCGACAGCAACTAGACCTTCTGCACACTGATCGGATGAAAATGAGGCTGCATATTCAAGGGTCTCATACGAAAGGGGTGTTAGAAGGAAATGTCCTTGATGTATATAACCAAGCCAGGGTCTACTAGACAAGCAAAGCATAGCCCGGCGTCCTCTCACAATCACAGAAAAGAGCTTGGGGGCTCTAAGTCCTAAGAACCGGGAGCGGGCATCAGAAAGCTGACCTGTCACCATGTCCACCACAGTTCTGAACAGAACCCCATTTTGTAAGCCAGCATTAAGAAAGAGGTTAGCAGGGTGATCTGCACCATCCTCTCCACCTACAGAAGCCTGCACTTCAAGAAACAGGAGAGATTCTGGAGGTGATGAAACACTTTGCAGGCTCAGAATCTGCATACAGTCGTCAGGATCCAATGACAAGATACGAATAGTGTTATCATACGATCCAACTGCAAGGAAACGAGATCTCTGTCTTCCTTCAGGAACAGGGGCAATGTCCAAACAAGCTACATCCCCCGACATTTCGT